CGGGCCAGCACCGCTGATGCTCATGATGCTCGGGCGTTTGGGCCGGGCCAGCACCAGCTAATGCTCATGATGCTCGGGCGTTTGGGGTGTGAAAGCCCCGGCCAGCACTGATTCTCATGATGCTCGGGGGTTTGGGTAGGAAATCCAGGGCAAGCACCAGCTGATGCTCATGATGCTCGGGCGTTTGGGCTTGAAAGCCCGGGCCAGCACCACTGATGCTCATGATGCTTGTGGAAAGCCCGGGCAAGCACCAGCTGATGCTCATGATGCTCGGGGGTTTGGGTGTGGAAAGCCCGGGCAAGCACCAGCTGATGCTCATGATGCTCGGGGGTTTGGGTGTGGAAAGCCAGGGCCAGCACCAGCTGATGCTCATGATGCTCGGGGGTTTGGGTGTGGAAAACCCGGGCAAGCACCAGCTGATGCTCATGATGCTCGGGGGTTTGGGTGTGGAAAGCCCGGGCCAGCACCGGCTGATGCTCATGATGCTCGGGGGTTTGGGTGTGGAAAGCCCGGGCAAGCACCAGCTGATGCTCATGATGCTCGAGGGTTTGTGTGTGTATAGCCCGGGCAAGCACCAGCTGATGCTCATGATGCTCTGGGGTTTGGGTGTGGAAAACCCGGGCAAGCACCAGCTGATGCTCATGATGCTCGGGGGTTTGGGGGTGAAAGCCCGGGCCAGCACCGCTGATGCTCATGATGCTCGGGGGTTTGGGGGTGAAAGCCCGGGCCAGCACCGCTGATGCTCATGATGCGCGGGGGGTTGGGCTTTGAAAGCGTGGGCCAGCACCGGCTGATGCTCATGATGCTCGGCGGTTTGGTCTTGAAAGCGTGGGCCAGCACCGGCTGATCCTCATGATGCTCGGGGGTTTGGGTTTGGAAAGCCCGGGCCAGCACCAGCTGATGCTCATGATGCTCTGGCGTTTGGGTTTGAAACGGGACTTGAAAGCCGGTCCAGCACCAGGTGATGCTCATGATGCTCGGTGGTTTGGGGGTGAATGCCCGGGCCAGCACCAGCTGATGCTCATGATGCTCGGGGGTTTGGGTTTTGAAAGCCCGGGCAAGCACCAGATGATGCTCATGATGCTCGGTTGGCTTGGGTCTTGAAAGCCCCGGCCAGCACCAGCTGATGCTCATGATGCTCGGGGTTTGTGTGTAGAAAGCGCTGATGTTCATGATGCCCGGGGGTTTGGGCTTGAAAGCCCGGGCCAGCACCAGCTGATGCTCATGATGCTTGGGGGTTTGGGTTTGAAAGCCCCGGGCCAGCACCAGCTGATGGTCATGATGTTCGGAGGCTTGGGTTTTGAAATTCGGGGGTTTGGGGGTGAATGCCCGGGCCAGCACCAGCTGATGCTCATGATGCTCGGGGGTTTGGGTTTTGAAAGCGCGGGCAAGCACCAGCTGATGTTCATGATGCTCGAGGGTTTGGGGGTGAATGCCCGGGCCAAGCACCACCTGAGGCTCATGATGCTCGGGGGTTTGGGCTTGAAAGCCCGGGCCAGCACCAGCTGATGCTCATGATGCTCGCGGGTTTGGGTGTGGAAAGCCCTGGCCAGCGCAAGCTGATGCTCATGATGCTCGGGGGGTTGGGTGTGGAAAGCCCGGGCCAGCACCAGCTGATGCTCATGATGCTTCGGGGGTTTGAGTGTGGAAAGCCCGGGCCAGCACCAGCTGATGCTCATGATGCTCGGGGGTTTGGGTGTGGAAAGCCCGGGCAAGCACCAGCTGATGCTCATGATGCTCGGGGGTTTGGGTGTGGAAAGCCCGGGCCAGCACCAGCTGATGCTCATATGTATGATGTGTATATAACATGTCAATCCGGAAAGCTCCACACACTTGTTGTGATTGTTAGTGTGCTTGAGCTGTAGCGTTGCACATTGCAACACAGGCATTCCTGGCGCAAGGTGGCGAAGCTGTCGCTTGGGGGCGAAGTTTGCATTCGCAGGCATTTGCCCGCGCGCTGGCTGCCTGGACGCGACTGGTCTCATGAATGCAAGAGTTCATCCGCAACGACCGCCTTCATTGCTCTCTGGATGTAAGTCCTCAAAGCCGTGCACTTGGAGATGGATTTGGGATGGTCGTCAGCTCCAAGGCAGACGCGGGGGTTTGTGTGCGGAAAGCCCGGGCCAGCACCAACTGGTGCTCATGATGCTCTGGGGTTTGGGTGTGGAAAGCCAGGGCAAGCACCAGCTGATGCTCATGATGCTCGGGGGTTTGGGCTTGAAAGCCCGGGCCAGCACCGCTGATGCTCATGATGCTCGGGCGTTTGGGCCGGGCCAGCACCAGCTAATGCTCATGATGCTCGGGCGTTTGGGGTTTGAAAGCCCCGGGCCAGCACTGATGCTCATGATGCTCGCGGGTTTGGGTGCGGCTGATGCTCATGATGCTCGGGGGTTTGGGTGCGGCTGATGCTCATGATGCTCGGGGGTTTGCATCTGATGCTCATGATGCTCGGGGGTTTGGGTGTGGAAATCCAGGGCAAGCACCAGCTGATGCTCATGATGCTCGGGCGTTTGGGCTTGAAAGCCCGGGCCAGCACCACTGATGCTCATGATGCTTGTGGAAAGCCCGGGCAAGCACCAGCTGATGCTCATGATGCTCGGGGGTTTGGGTGTGGAAAGCCCGGGCAAGCACCAGCTGATGCTCATGATGCTCGGGGGTTTGGGTGTGGAAAACCCGGGCAAGCACCAGCTGATGCTCATGATGCTCGGGGGTTTGGGTGTGGAAGGCCCGGGCAAGCACCACATGATGCTCGGGGGTGTGGGTGTGGAAAGCCAGGGCCAGCACCAGCTGATGCTCATGAGCATCAGCCGGTGCTGGCCGGGCTTTGCACACCCAAGCCCCGGAGCATCATGAGCATCAGCTGGTGCTGGCCCGGGGCTTTCAAACCCCAAACGCCCGAGCATCATGAGCATCAGCGGTGCTGGCCCGGGCTTTCAAGCCCAAACCCCCGAGCATCACGAGCATCAGATGGCGCTTGCCCGGGCTTTCCACACCCAAACCCCCGAGCATTGAGCATCAGCTGGTGCTTGCCCGGGCTTTCCACACCCAAACCCCATCAGCTGGTGCTGGCCCGGGCTTTCCACACTCAGCTTTCCACACCCAAACCCCCGAGCATCACGAGCATCAGCTGGTGCTTGCCCGGGCTTCCCACACCCAAACCCCGAGCATCATGAGCATCAGCTGGTGCTGGCCCGGGGCTTTCAAACCCCAAACGCCTTTCAAGCCCAAACCCCCCCAAGCATCATGAGCATGAGCTGGTGCTTGCCCAAACCCCCGAGCATCATGAGCATCAGCCGGTGCTGGCCCGGGCTTTCCACACCCTAACCCCCGAGCATCATGAGCATCAGCTGGTGCTGGCCCGGGGCTTTCAAACCCCAAACGCCCGAGCATCATGAGCATCAGCTGGTGCTGGCCCGGGGCTTTCAAACCCCAAACGCCCGAGCATCATAAGCATCAGCGGTGCTGGCCCGGGCTTTCAAGCCGAAACCCCCGAGCATCATGAGCATCAGCTGGTGCTTGCCCTGGCTTTCCACACTCAAAACCCCCGAGCATCATGCTCGGGGGTTTGGGCTTGAAAGCCAGGGCCAGCACCAGCTGACTCCAAGAGGTGTCCTGAAGCCTTTCTTAAAAGGAACTCCCCACCCCCACCCTCAATACATCATTAAGTCATGGGCGCTAATCACAGAGCTGCAGGAACAACAGCAACCACGAAAAGGAAGACGCGCCTTCAGACTATTAATTCTCACCACCAAGAGGCCTGATGTTAAACTTGCAAACGGGAGTGATGGCCGAACCCATTGGGTAAGTATGCCCAATCGGCTACCCCATGCTCTGGCGCTACTCCACATGTCCTTGCAAAAAACAAAAAGACAGCGACTTTTCGAGGCACGTCCTCCTCAAAACGTCACCGTAGGGGCGGAGCAGCGGGGATGAAAAAAACCCTTTGAAACTGTGGCCCTCCTAGGGGAAACCGCACCCCACGCCTTGCTGAAGAGAGGAGACCCGCGGTATTTTGATATGACCCTGGTAAGCCTGCTAAGCAAGCACCAAACCGTGTACAAGAACTGGAAAGTGCTTTCGCAATAGTACGTGGCCCACAGGCTTGGCAGGTTTTTCTTGTGGTGGGCTCAGGGAGTTTTTCAGATCTACGAGCAGAGGGCAGAAAGATCTTTTCGGCTTAAGGGCTTACAGTCCCACAGGTCTTTGGATGTGTGGGACTCATCCGGCAGCGCTCGGGAGAGCTTTAACTAGATCCCCCTTGGGAATCATGTTTTGTTCTTGTTCTTTACAACCCAAGAGGGTATTAAACATATTAGTTTTTATTAAGGTTCTAAGGGGAGTATAGTTAAGACTTTCCAGTGTTTCAGGGCCTTCTGCTTGTTGGGTTTGATGCTCTTGATGCCGGGGCGCCTGACTTAGGCCTTCGCAGCTGATGCGCATGATGCTGCGCCTGCGTGCCCCCCGACCTGGCTGGAAGCCCTCCCAGTTGATGCTCATGATGCTCCAGCCGGGCGCCTGCGTCAAACCCCCGATCATCATGGAGCATCCGCTGGTGCTGGCCCAAGCTTTCAAGCCCAAATCCCGGAGCCTAGCTGGTGCTGGCAGAAGCTTTCAAACTCAAACCCCAGAGCGTCATGAGCATCAGCTGGCGCTGGCCCGCCCGAAGCCCAGAGCATCATGAGCATTAGCTGGTGCTGGCCGAAGTTTCAAACCCAAACCCCCGAGCATCATGGGCATCAGCCGGTGCTGGCTGGCCTGCGCTTTCAAACACAAACCCCAGCGCATCATGAGCATCAGTTGGTGCCAGCTCGAGCATCATGAGCATCAGCTCAGGGCTTTCAAACCAAGGCCTCCAAACGCAAGAAAACAGCCCACAAGCCGTCTCAGACAGAGCCGCAAGCATGAACGCGGACGGTTTTCCCCTAAACCCTAAACCCTAAACCCTAAACCCTAAACCCTAAACCCTAAACCCTAAACCCTAAACCCTAAATTTCCCCGAGGTCTTGGGTGCCGCCTTGGAGGACAAGTTCGGTGGCCACCTGACCATCGGGCCACTCGTCGGGCCACTCTTGGTAGCCCCTTTACCCAAGTTTCTCCAGGGTTCCCGTTTAAGGTTTAGGGTTTAGGGTTTAGGGTTTAGGGTTTAGGGTTTAGGGTAACCCCAAAAAAAGGGCACCCTTGTTGTGATGTGGTTTCTGGGGTACCAAGAATCACCAGCAATCTTCAGGGGGATGGGGACTGTTAGGTGACTCCCACAGAGTAGCCCTAAACCCTAAACCCTAAACCCTCAACCCTAAACCCTAAACCCCATAAACTCAAAAACAAAAACACAGCTTTGCCTTTTTGGCAGACAGCCCCCCGCTTCCGTCAGCTCAGCCCAGGCCAGCCGTGCAGGGCGGCTTCTACTACGACATGTTCCTAGGACACTTCTTGGGGACCACCCGGTATAATGGGGTTTGGGGTTTAGGATTTAGGGTGTAGGGTGTAGGGTTTAGGGTTTAGGGTGATTTTAGGGTATACCCTGGCTACGGTACTACTACTACAATCCCTAGTGAGGTGTATGGACCATAGTAAAACCTAACCACCCTAACGAGCCATAATCAACGTTGAGATCAACATACCCTGTACTAACCGGGGGGGGGGAAGGGGAAGGTCGCAAGATCACGAGACCGAACTGGAGCAAACAGAGCGCAACATGCGCGCGCATGTTAGTGCATCATCGGTTCTAGAATAGCTAGCCTTGGGGACCATGCGAAGCCCAAAAAGGTTTATGGTTCATGTACCTTAAGTAATATGGAATTATTGCAATAGTATAGGGTACATGACCCCAATTTTAGGGTTCATCTGGTTTCCAAGGAGAATTTGTAATATACACTACGTTGACGGATTGCCGGCGCTGATCGAGGAGGGCTCTCCCCAAAAAGTGGTCGTTAGACACTGTTCACCCGGCCCCATGAACACCCCTAAACCCCAAACCCCGGACCCTAAACCCCTAAACCCCACACCCCAAACCCCCAAACCCCAAACCCTTAAACCCCTCAGCCCTAGAATGAGATACCCAGACTGCCCCCCATCGCCTCCATCAGGAGACCAGGCCCTCTCAGAAGCCAACTTCCAGGAGATCGAGCCACTCGACTCCGGGGTTAGGGTTTTTTTTTTGGGCTGAAGGGTTTAGGGCTTAGGGCTTAGGGTTTAGGGTATTTAGAGATTTTTTGAGAATTAAGTAAAATAAGATCATTGCGCAATATTACAGCGTTAAATTGGTGTGAGGTTCGGGTTTCTCAAGTTACCCATGAATTCCCTCTAGACCTTACAGTGCATACATTTTGGTTTGTAGGGTTTATAGGTGTTTCAGTATATAGGTGGAGAATCATGTGTGAATCTTCTTTCCCTCTAAACCTTATTTGCTTTTAGTAAGGCTTCTTGAGGAGTTTATGCATATGAGGTAGCTTCGGCTTTTCTCCTTTCTTTGCAGGGGCTTGGGTGTTGGCTTGGCTGTGGAGGGTTGGCCTTCATGGGCCTTCACGGGCTACACGAGGGCACAGAGAGTTCCAGAGGCAAGCCTCTGAGTCGTAGGACTTTTTTTTGGAGTTCCGACCGACCCTCAAACCCAATCTGAAAGGTCCGACATCCCACGTCCTCATCCTTGCCGCCCCGAAGTTTGCTTTTGGCGCTTGAAGCGATCTAAGGCCTGTTTTAGCCCCTTCCCATGCTTCAATGCAAGAGTATGTATGTATATATATATATATATATACATGATGATGTATTTGTATTTAGATATTCATGTATGTATCTGTATATACATACCTACATACATGCATGCTACATATAAATAAATAAAGAAATAAAGATATATATATATATACTTATTTATTTATTTATGTATATATATATATATGTCATGGTAGAAAGCCTAAAATGGGCCATGAGCAGAAGGGAATGTCTTCCTCACAGCTTCGCCAGCCACCGGCCTTGTGAGGATTATCGGGTTGAATTCTTTGGAGGGGTCCTAAACCCTGAACCCTGAACCCTAAACCCTAAACCCTAGACCCTAAACCCCAAACCCTACCTGCACCTTCCAAGGGACGCCGTGGCCGAGCTCCGACAGAGCCTGCAGCTGAGATGTGAATCAACCCTAAACCCTAAACCCCTGAGCCCCGAAGCCCTAGAACCCTAAACCCTAAGCCCTAAGCCCTCAACCCTAAACCCCGAAACCCCAAACCCTAAAACCCTAAAACCCTACACACTAAACCCTAACCCTAGGCCCCAAAACCCTAGACCCTAAACCCTAGCCTAAACCCTTATTAAAACCCTAAACCCCCCCCCCCCCCCCGAACCTCGAATCCAATCTCGCGTCCGCTGCGGCCTGGGTCAGAGAGCTTTCCGCGGAGTCCCACCTTTGCCTCAAGGATTGGGGACTACATGGACCCAATTTAGTGGAACAGGGTTTAGGGTTTGGGGTTTAGTGTTCAGGGTTTATAGGGTTTGGGGTTTAGTACCCTAAACCCTAAACCCTAAACCCTGTATGGTCCCATTTCTAGGGTGATTTGGTCCCCGAGGGATGCCTCGCACTGCAGCCGTGTGTAGAGTCGGGTCAGAGCAAACGACTTGGTTTTTCTGTAGGTTGCCGCCGAATCCTATAATCGGATATATAGTCGTAACCCACAAAAGTATTGCAGATTTGAGGTTCTCGTAGGGTTTAGGGATTCGGGCTACTGAACCCAAGCCTCCGAAACATCCTTCAGGCGACTCTCCATTCGAGCGTCTCGTCATCACCCGCCGCAGACTGAGCTTCGGGTGTGCTGTGGCGTCGACTTGGTAGCCCAAGTGGTATTCTTCACCCTTTTTTGTTGGTTCTGGGTTCCCTTATCAGGTTAACCAACCAAAAAAGGGTGCCCTGATTACAAGTATGGCTACTGGGCTATTGAGTCGAAGGGTTGCGGGTTCAGGGAGGTTACTGACCGGTCTGCGTGGGTTTAGCAGTCGAAGACACCTCGTCTCAGCTTCGATTCAGCTGAGTTTTTTTGGGGTTCTCGCAGTTTTCAGAAGGTTTATACGGGGGGGATTGAGCACGTTTCCAACAGTTTATAAGGGTTCAGGGGGATTGAGCAAAAGCTCTGAAAAAGGGCCCCGGACATTTGGATCACTGTATTATGCAGCTCATGCCATCTTGAAGGAGCGCCAGCTCTCCGTCTCCATCTCGGCCCCCCCGAGACCTTACTGGGAGATTCCCTAGAGTTTTAGGTTTATAGGGTTGAGGATTTTGGGTTTAGGGTTTATAGGGTTTAGGGTTTAGGGTTTATAGGGTTTAGGGTTTATGGGGTTTATAGGGTTGAGGATTTTGGGTTTAGGGTTTATAGGGATTAGGGTTTCAAGTGTGGATCCCCTTTTGGTATCCCACGTTATAACACGGAGCAAAACATGCAAGGAGCCACAAAAGTGGTCTTGAAGGTAGAGCATCCACAACACCTTCATGTCCCGGCCTCCTAGGTGGAGAGTCCTAAACCCTAAACCCTAAACCCCAAATGAGCAAATCCTAAAATCTCAGCCTCCCAGGTGATGAGGCTCTGGAGCTCTTTGCCCACAACCCTTTCAAGGTGGACCTGATCAAGCGGAAGGCCCATCGGTCCCGAAAACCTTGCAGACCAAATGAAGTTAACAATTGGGATCATAGATTTTCTTATAGTCGTATAACTCCTTATTAGGGTACATGAACCGTAACTCCTTATGAGGGTATATGAACCATGGCTCATGTGGCTCCTTAAGGTATATGGAAGTCGTACAGTAGTAGAACTCCTTCTTAGGGTACATGAGCCATAAGCCTTTTAGGGTCCATGTCTTATAGTAACTCCTTATGAGGGTAGATGAACCATAAGCCTTCTGGGGTTTATTAAAAGGGTCCTTAAGGCATATGGACTTTCCGATAAAAAGAAGCCGCCTGGAGACCCTGTACCTTAAGAACCCCAAGCCTGCTGTTCTTCCAGGTTTCCAAAGGCTCCTACAAGGGTTTTCTTTCACCCTAAACCCTAAACCCTAAACCCTAAACCCTAAACCCTAAACCCTAAACCCTAAACCCTAAACCCTAAACCCTAAACCCTAAACCCTAAACCCTAAACCCTAAACCCTAAACCCTAAACCCTACACTTCTTGCTTGCAATCCCCACAGAAGCCTTCTTCCGGACAGTCCGAAATCCCTCAATCCATCCCTCGACCGAGCCCCCAAGACTTCTTGTCGTCCTTTTAGGAACTCGGGACAAGGGTGTAGGGTTTAGGGTTTAGGCTTTAGGGTTTGAGTCCATATATGCCTTAACAGTGCTTCTAGCTGCAGAGGGTATGTGGTCCCAACTTGAGGGTTCATCTGGTCCCAAAACAGAACCCCCCCCCCCCCCCCCCCCCAAAATGAGGGACCCCCAATATAGATCCCCAAATAGTAGGATTCCCTTATCATGACCCCAATAAGGTACCCCTCCTACACCCTAAACCCTAAACCCTAAACCCTAAACCCTAAACCCTAAACCCTAAACCCTAAAACCCTAAACCCTAAACCCCTAAACCCCTAAACCCCTAAGACCCTAAACCCTAAACCCTAAAACCCTAAACCCTAAACCCCCGTTAATTTCGGAAACCCCCAGGTCGCACCCGATGCGCTGACGACGGCCTACCGCTGTGGCGACCTCGTGGACCTTTGCCGCGGGTCTGGGGCTCTGCTCTCGCAAGGGGCTTTCCCAGGACCTTTTCTAGAGAGTCTCTCTTTTTGGGACATGTAGGTGCTTTTGCTTTTGCTTATATAGAACCCAAGAGGAGGGTACAAACATATTCTTGTTGTGATTCTAAGTGGAGTATGTGTTTTGGTCCTTTGGGTGGACTAGCGACGGGCACCCCGCCAGCAGCCGCAAACAGAAATGCCCTCTCAAGGAAAATACTCCTCCGGAAGCCCTGAAACCCTAAACCCTAAACCCTAAACCCTAAACCCCCCCAAAGTGCCAGCAGCTTCCAAGGCCGCACCTCCCTTCCACCTCGCGGGTGAAAGCTTTCAAGGTGCCCGCGGGTTTAGGGTTCAGGGTTCCGGGTTAGGGTTTAGGGTTTATAGGGTTCCGGGTTTAGGGTTCCGGGTTTAGGGTTTAGGGTTCCGGGTTTCGGGTTTAGGTTTAGGGTTTAGCATCTCAAGTTCAGGCATTCACCAGCCAAGCAGCTTGTCAAGTGACGGAGAAATACCCACCCGCCCAGTGGGTCCCACAACTTTTTAGGGAGCCATTCCAGTATTTTAGCTTCGCATCTCAAGCCAGGATTCCTTTCAAATCCCAAGCCCAAGGATTCATGGCCCTTAAATACTAGAGCCCAATCCGAAAGCTTAAGGCCTGTGGCGCCTAAACCTTAAAGCCCAAGGTCCAATAGCCCCTAAACCCGAAAGCCCAAGGCCCAATAGCCCCTAAACCCTAAAGCCCAAGGCCAGCGGCCCTTGAACCCTAAAGCCCAAGGCCCCATAAACCCCAAACCCTAAAGCCCTAAAGCCCAAGGCCCAAAAAACCCTAAAGCCCTAAAGCCCAAGGCCCTAGCCCAAAGAAGTGGCCCTCAGCAAAGAAGAAACGGCCCCTAGCAAAGAAGAAATGGCCCTTAGCTAAGAGGAAATTGCCCTTAGCCACAAACGAGTTAAGGGTTCAAATGCATAAATAACAAATAAATACATAAATAAATATACCAATATGTATATATATATATATATATTTGCTTTTGTAAGAGAGGTTTAGGGTGTAGGGTTTAGGGTTTTAGGGTTCAGGGTTCAGGGTTTAGGGGTTTACCGGGTTTACTTAAACAAAAACCATTGAACGTAAGATTTGAATCGTATACCCTGTATACTTCTCTAGGCCTAGATGAAGGCATATGTGGGCACAAACCCGTTTAGGGTTCATGTAGTCCCCCAGGCTTCACTTCTCGACGCTTGGAGTCTGTGGCCCGTGGCAACATGACCCAACACCTTTTGTAGGTTACATGAGAGTCCTATAAGGGGACTGATTACAATAGCCTACAAAAATGTAGGTTGTGGTTCTGAAATCCCAGGTCATGAAGAACTCCTCGGCCTACTGGCTGGGCTCTGCAGAGAACGACTCCCTGCGCCTCGGTTTGCGTTTTGGGGTTACAGTGAACTCCAGAAAGTTGGAGCACGGTTGAAGGATGATTGGACCTGGATTTCATCGGGGTATGGGATGAGGATGTTCCCGCTTTCTGGAGATTACCGTAATCCTAGGCTTGGAAGGTTGTTGGCTGGTGTCCCTCACTTCTGGAAGCAGTGGAGGGGGGGCTTTTAGCCGTGGTAAGTGCTGAAGGCTTGACGCCCCCCCCCCCCCCCCCTCGCCCCGGCAAAAACAAAAACACAAATCCTGAATTCCTCCAAGCCTGCTCCTTGTAGGCGATTACTGCAAAACCCCTGCAAGGATCTTAGATTGATCTCAGCTACTTCTTCAAGCACCTGCTGGCTTTTTTACATAGACCTTAGTTGCTTCCAAAAAAAGCAGGTTGAACAGCTTATCAGTAGGTTACCCTAAACCCTAAACCCTAAACCCTAAACCCTAAACCCTAAACCCTAAACCCTAAACCCTAAACCCTAAACCCTAAACCCTAAACCCTAAACCCTAAACCAGTTCTGATGGGTTAATAAGTACCATGAACCTCCAAGTAGGGGAACCCATGATGAGCAGCTTTGGGGTTCCTAAACCCTAAACCCTAAACCCGAAACCCTAAACCCTAAACCCTAAACCCTAAACCGAAATCCGGGAGCCACGGAGTTGCAGGCAGCGCATCTACGGCGTGTCCTTCCCATCAGAGAAGCAGCTCAAGGAGAGCTTCCTGTGCCTAAGACTCTGCTCTCAGGGTTTGGTTTGGGGCTTCGGGTTTAGGGTTTAGGGTTTAAGGTTTAGGGTTTAGGGGCCTAGTTCTAGGCTGCCTCGTTGCATGCACTGAAATGTCCTAAGCTTTGCTTTCTTAGAGGGAGGGGGCATCATGTGAACGTGTGTGAAGGTTTGGGGGGCTCGGGATGATTACTAGTATTGCTCCCTATAGAGTCCCTATATAACCATACTATAATCCCCCCTCCCCCCCCCCTCCCCCAAACCCCCCCCCCCCCCCCCACCCACCCAAAAAAAAACATCTATTCTAATTTTTAAGGCCCCTATAGTGGATCCTTGGATGCAGGGCTTCGACTCAAGAGAGTTGTCATTTTGGAGCCTTGGAGTCGGGGATTTGTTTCAGATGCCATGGGGCCAGGTCAGGATTGGTGGTGCCAGGCTGTTGGGGCTGAGGTATAACGATAGGGGTTTAGGGTTTAGGGTTTAGGGTTTAGGGTTTAGGGTTTAGGGTTTAGGGTTTTTGGTATAGCGACAGGGCATAAGAGAGTTCGAAGAGGTGCGTTTGAGCTTGCGTGCGGGCACCGAGGCCTGGGTTTTGGCAATTGAGTGTTCCAGCTGGCGCAGGCGCATCTGCGACAGCAGGAGGAGGCGAAGGCAGCGTTTGGGGTGTCTCGGGTCTTGCCAAAAGCCAATTCGGAAACCTAGCCGTCTGTGCTGCATAAAGGCGGAGGTCGAGCATAGTGCCAGAGAGGTTGCCATTGTTCCAGGGATTTCACGGCTGCAACTCTCGAGGTGGATCCTCGCAGCAAGGGCTGCTCAAATCGGAGTCGTCCTACAGAACCGCCTCACATGTTCGAGTCCTTGTGTGAAGTGGGAGGAGCGCGATCACCGACGCGCCCGGCGCCCGGAAGACTGGTGACCCCTCTGGGCCGTTGTGAGGATCCGACATCGGCACATGCCCAGAGAACTATAGAGCCACGGTTTAGGGTTTAGGGTTTAGGGTTTAGGGTTTAGGGTTTTCCTCTGGAACCCCCTTAGGCTGGCACAGGCCTTCGTGAGGTGAGGTTACAGTGAGGTTTGCCCCGAGAGTGGGCCCTGGCAGTACCCCTTCTTGGGGTTCTCTCCCCCCACAAGTTGATCCCCCTAAACCCTATAAACCCTAAACCCTAAACCCTAAACCCTAAACCCTAAACCCTAACCCTAAACCCTACAACCCTAGACTTCCTTCGGCCCGACGATGGAGACTGGAGGTTGGGACGCAGCAAGGGCGGGGGCCTCGGATGCGCCCCGGGTTTGGGGGACGTGGGAGGGTTGTCATGTGGGCTTAGGGTTTAGGGTTTAGGGTTTAGGGTTTAGGGTTTAGGGTTTAGGGTTTAGGGTTTGAGGGTTTGAGGGTTGAGGGTTTTAAGGGTTTTTTGGGTTTAGGGCTTAGGGTTTAGGGTTTAGAGGCAATTAGGAAGGAAAGTTTGGGATGCAAGGTTTTTGGAGAGGTTTGCGGGAGCTTGGCTCTGTGGGCTTCAGAGGTCTTTTCCCCGCCACGGAGGCCAGCGTCCCACAACCGAAGCACGAAGACCTCCCCCTCTTCACAACCCCACCTTTAGACCACTGCACCGGTATTTTGCGCAAAGGATCCAGCGGCAGCACAAGCCGAGCTCCTAGTTGTGACCGATGTCCCCCCCTCCCCAGCAGTGTTGAGGCTTTTCTTCTTTGACGCTGTGATGGCGTGGGGGGGCTCAGTGGGAGACCACTTTCGGGGCTCAGACGATGGGCAGATGCCATGGAGGGTTGACCATGGCCTCCTCGGAGAGGGACCCAACATACCCATACCATCACTCGCGCCAAGTCGGCGTAAGCCTTGCATGGACAACTGCAGCCCGCCCCTAAATGCCCACATCCTCACACCTCAGAGCACCCGAAACCCTAAACCCACAACCCTAAACCCTAAACCCTAAACCCTAAACCCTAAACCCTCCCGAAATACAACAAATGTCCAAGGCCCGGCTCCTGCTTCTGGACGAGCTACGGGCCTCGGGGCTTGGAGTTTCAGTTTAGGGTTTAGGGTTAGGATCTAGGGTTTAGGTCGAGGGTTGCGGGTTTTGCGTTACACTCGCCGGTTCCCTCCAGGGAGGACATGAACCCACAGACTTTGTAGCTGCATAAGATATAGATAAGCCCTGCGTTTAGGGATTCATTCGGTCCCCGTCAGGCGGACCGAGCCCCCCTAAGCCTTCACCACCCTCCTCCTTCGTTTCTTCCTTCGTCCTTGTCTGTCCAGCTCAGAGCCCTCTGACACCAACTCTTTCAGCTTGGCTGTTGTCTGCTTACCTGGGTGCCCTCAACCCGTCACCCTCAACCCGTCACTGTGGGCTTCTTATTGTGGGGAAGCTGCTTGGGGGATTCCGAAGTCCCCAGAAAAATCGGGGATTCCGGCCATGGGTTCTGCGCAAACTGATCTAAAACAAGACCTTTTTGGAAAGCACAAGCGGTCTTAGAGGGATGTATAGGCCCTTGCGCTAAGCGAGCGAGCCTACATCCTAAGGAAGGCTCTTGTACACTCTACATCTTCTGCACACTTGTTTCTTGAAGCCTGCTCCTTTCTTCAACCTTGCACCCTAAACCCTAAACCCTAGTTACACCCTAACCCGGAACCCTGAACCCTAAACCCTAAACCCTTTGCCGAGGGCACGGCTGTACAACCGGCTGCAGGAGCTCATGCGCGCGGAGCACCTTGCTCCTGACCATGGGCTGTGGCTTCGAGAGTTTGCAGGGCTGCAAGTGCCAGAGGGTTTAGGGTTTAGGGTTTAGGGTTTAGGGCAAGAGGGTTTTGCAGTGGCTTTTGTGAGTTCTTAGCCTGTTGAACTCCCTCCAACTTCGGCCGAAAGACTCAGAAGATGAGAAAAGTGGCCCTAGGGCCCTGGGGCAGGTCTGACTGCATGGGCTGGAACAGGTGCTTCATGACATTCAAGGAGGCCCCAATCAGGGCTTATGGGCCCGTATGTCCTTGATGGGGTTTAGGGTGTAGGCCTTCCTGTACCTTCAAAACCCACTAAAGTTGTGCCAGGGCATATGAAACTGGGTTTATGTTGCTGTTATTGGTGAGTGTAGAAAAGGTTCCTTTTACTGTTGGTGAGTGTGTATACCGGGTGTCCTTTTGGGGGTAGACGAAATGTATACCCCACTTCATATGATCCCCAACTTTTTCGGGTTCGTTGGGTCCCTAAGGTACTTATCAAAACGGCGGACTCGTGGGTTTCATAGGCTTTGCGCCTTTGCACCCTGCTGCCTCGAGCCTCCAGGGTTCAATTAGGGTTTAGGGTCTAGGGTTTGGGGTTTAGGGTTTAGGGTTTGGGGGTTAGGGTTTGGGGTTGTTTTTTTTCATTCAGGGAAGTTGTAGGGTTGAGTCTCGCAGCTTCGCAAGCCAAGATTCCGTAACCCCCGCGTCATGCGGCTCTCAGGCAGCAACTCAACACGTACCCTGAGGCTCAAAGAGCCCCAAAAGCCTTCTATGATCAAGCCTGTGGGCCCAAACACCTTAACTTGGCTTTCTTCTGGCTGGCTCTGAGGACTTTAACCTTTTTGGGGTTTTTGTAGAACCTACAATAAGGGGCCTGAAAGTTAAACTTTGAGGAGGGGTTCAGAAGTCAGCCAAGTTAATATACGAGTCCTTGGAGCCTTAGGGATAGAGAGTGCAGGGGCATGGTTGCGCTCTCAATCCTCTTCTAGCCCATCTTCAGGCCCTGAACCCTAACACCTGCTAAGCAAGTACGGACCCTGAACCCCAAACCCCAAACCCCAAACCCCAAACCCTAAACCCCAAACCCCAAACCCCAACCCCCAGACCCTAAACCCTAAACCCCAAACCCTAAACCCTAAACCCTAAACCCTGAACTTGAACACCCTGAGGTACCGGGCGCGCGGCTTCGAGGAGGTCATCACGCCGCACCTCGGGCTTGAACTCTGCGTTAACAAGGGTTTAGGGTTTTGGGTTTTGGGTTTTGGGTTTAGGGTTTGGGTTTAGGGTTTAGGGTTTAATTAGGGTTTAGGGTTTAGGGTTTAGGGTTTAGGGTTTAGGGTTTAGGGTTTAGGGTTTAGGGTTTAGGGTTCAGGGTTTGGGGAAACCTTGCATGAAGGTCGGGGGGTTTGCCCGCTCCGCTCTGCTTCCGCGCTCCCTCTCAAGGGCTCGGGCTTAGGGTGGTTTACAAAGCGTTTGAAACCCTAAACCCTAAACCCTAAACCCTAAACCCTAAACCCTAAACCCTAAACCCTAAACCCTAAACCCCCGTTTGAATGTTAACTTAACCCTTAAACCCTAAACCTTAAACCCGAAGCGTTTGTCCGGCTTGTAGGGGTCTAAGGGGGTCTTAAGGGGTTTCTAGGGTTTGACGCGTTTATAATTGGGGTTTATAGGGTTTGGGGTTTATAGGTAGGGTTTATTGGGTCTTTAGGGTTCAAAGGGTTTATGGGGTTTACAGGATTTATACGCATGGTTTATACTACGATCTGCTTAAGAACCCCCCCCCCCAAAAAAAAACAAACTATATATATATATATATATATACATATATATCCCTATATTACTCCTACAAGGAAGAACATGTATGTTTTTAGGGTGTTCTTAAGCAGTTCGTAGTATGGGCTTTCAGGTTTGCAGCGTTTTTGGGGTTTCTACGCAGCGCTTTGTTTGGTTTGGTTCCGGGGATCGCTCAGGAACATCACGGCCAGCGAGCTGTTCAAGCGTCGGGGCCCAAAGATGACTCGCTAAGCCCTAAGCTCGAAACCCTTATACCGAAACCCTGAACCCTGAACCCTAAACCCTGAACTCTAAACCCTAAACCCTAAACCCTAAACCCTAAACCCTAAACCCCAAACCCCAAACCCTAAACCCTGACCGGAAGTGTTGGGTTTAGTGCTTTAAAGGTTGCACCTGGGGCTGGTTTGAGTCTTTAGAGGGTTTCTGGGGGAACCTTGAGCTGTTGTGAGTTTTAGGCGGTTGCAGGGAATCCTGGACATATTTGTGGGCATAAGGCCTTAGGGGGAAACTTGGTGGTTTGTGAGGTTTGGGGCTTAGGGTTTTCGATGTTTTGCGTGACTTGGTTTGACATGAAGCTTGCCTTGTTCGTGCCGACCAGGAGTTGACGGAGGGGGGGGGACTTAGGTGAACCCGAAAAGGTCTTATGGTCCACGCACCCGAATATGGAGTATGGTTCACTGGGTGCTTAAGAAGCCGTCAAATCTGGAACCCAAGGCTTGTGAACAGACCTTGCGAGTTCAGGATTTCTAGGGCCTCGGGTATATAAGGCTTATAGGGTTGTAGGTTCAAAGGTGTATAGGGCTTCGAGAGATTTTGGGGTCTAGAATCTCTCAGAACGCAACGCAGGCTCTGGACATTACCAGAACTACCGCCGGTTCCCCAGCCTGAGGTCTTCACAGCCACTCCCAGCCTAAGATGTCTATCTGCTGGGATGTTCCCCCTCAGACTAACAGTCCTGAATAGGGATTATAGTACCCCCTATTACTAGTACTTGCTTAAGAACCCCGATAAAAATATGCTTCCTTGTTGAGGGTAATATAGGGATTGTTGTTTTTTGTATTCTTTTGGGGTCGACTTTGGGACCCGACACCCTGAACCCTGAACCCTAAACCCTAAACCCTAAACCCCAAACCCCAAACCCTAAACCCTAAACCCTAAACCCGCGCTTAAAGACCTACTTCCGGCTGTTACCGTGGCATCCTCACGCTTCTTTCAGCTGGCATGCCCCAGAACCCGGTTTAGAGGGTTTAGGGTTTAGGGTTTGGGGTTTAGGGTTTAGGGTTTAGGGTTTAGGGTTTTGCAATCAAGGGCCCCCAGAGCCCCCCAAACGGCACAAAGCCCGAAACCCCAAGCCGCCTTAAACCCCAAAACCGCGAAACCCCTCAACCCCAAAACCGCCCTAGGCCCCTAAACCCTAAACCACCTTAAACCTAAACTACCTCAGACCCTATACCAACCTAATCCTCCCCAAACCCTAAACCCCAAGCCGCTCGAAGTCCTAAACCCTAACCCTAAACCCTAAACCCTAAACCCTCTAACCCCACCAGGTGAAGACATGTATGGGTTCAACGTGGAGGGCCAGGAGTGGCCGCGGGTCCCAGGGGGGGGGGGGGGGGCATCCCAGAGCCCTGTAGGGTTTAGGGTTTAGGGTTTAGGATTTAGGGTTTGGGGTTTAGGGTTTAGGGTTTAGGCTTAGGGGTTGAGGGGGTTTTAGGGTTGAGGTCTTTAGGGGTTGAGGGGGCATAGGGTGGTTTAGGGTTTTGGGGGCTTAGGAAGTTTGGGGGGTGTCCCTCTGCCTCCGGGGCTGCAGTTAATCTTTGTTCCGCGTTGCCGGTGTAGAGGGACAGCAGCAGCAGCAGCGGCAGCGGCAGCAGCAGCAGCGGCAGCAGCAGCAGCAGCAGCAGCAGCAGCAGCAGCAGCAGCAGCAGCAGCAGCAGCAGCAGCAGCAGCAGCAGCAGCAGCAGCAGCAGCAGCAGCAGCAGCAGGCAGCAGCAGCAGGGTCGTGCAGTCCGAGTCAAGTGTCTGCAAACCTGCATGCGCGCGGTGGAGTTTCTTGGATCCCCCCCCCCAAACAGCACTTAAACAAAAGGCAAAAGCCAAGGGCAGCAAGCAAGCCCCGGCCCAGGTTCTTGAAGCCCATGAACTGCCCTGGGCCCGGAACCTGGGAGTTGCCAGAAGAAGCCCCCGGGGGGGCTTGTGCTGGTGGAGTTTTTGGGTGGAGCTTGGGGTTTTGGAGGGTGCGCAGTACCATCTACCATTCGTAAATCCCTAAACCCTAAACCCTAAACCCTAAACCCTAAACCCCTAACACACGAAGCAGTTTGTTCCTTGATTTGTTTGCGCGGCCGTCAGATTTTGCGTCTGAGCGCCTTTCCTAGACTGCATGTAGCCTAGGCGATGTACAGACTTCTCTCCAACATGTCGTGGCCATATACACGCGGGTTGATCAAACGGTCCTTCTTGGGAAGGTTCCTATGGCATATGGAAGGGAAATTTCGGGTTATTTTGGGTAGCAGCTACTACCAAATATTGCTGCAAACTCATTCGGCAAAATGTGAACCCTGCCCTTCACTGGGAGGCACTGCGTGATCTTTGACAGCAGGCGGGCCGTGAGGTTGTCGGAGCGGTCGCTAGACCTCCCCCTCAACTCTAGGAACTCTTCTGGCACCTTGCTGAAGACAAGCTTGTATTCCTGACCTAGAGTAGCAGAGTAGCCTGAAATCCTAGACTTTTTCTGGACCTTTCGTGCCACTTCCGAACTCCCCAAGTACTGCACCACTGGACCTCTGCAACGTGAGAATGGGATTGCGGTCGTCCACTTCTATACACTTACCCCCCCCCAAGCCCCAGAGCCCTAAACCTTGAACCCGCGAACGGCGAAGCAAAGAATCCAGACATCCACGCAGCCTGCGCCGCTCACCTCATTATCAGATTCGGATGGACCCGTCCCCGCGCAAACCATGACATTGAACAGTTTCCCCGTGGCCCGGGTCTCTACAACCAGCGTGACTGCTACTCCCGGGCCCCCTTCAAGCCTTCAGCCCCCCACCGGCACCAGGCCACGATCCTACCGCGAGCTGCCCATGAGGCGGGACTGATTTACGATGTACATAGTGGCTTCTTTTTGGTAGGTGGTTGTGTGTGGTCCCATGTTTTCTGTTGTTTGTTTCCGCTCTTTTGAAGGGTCGGGGGGAGGGCTTCGGCAGAAGTCACCGACAACTTCAGAGCCACATCCCATCCTAACCTCTTCCCAGCTCCTACCCTAAACCCTAAACCCTATACCCTAAAACCCTATATATCACTTCCAGCAAATCTGAGACGACCTCGCTTCAGGGAGGGCACTCTGGAGGCAAGTTGTGGTCCTCGGCCAGGAGTGTTTTGAATGGTTTAGGGTTTAGGGTTTAGGGTTGATCGTGGCCCCTAAACCCTAAACCTTAAACCCTAAACCCTAAATCCTAAAACGTCGGCAGCAGTCGGGGCAACGGTGGCTCTCTTCGGGGCGCGCCAGAGTCCAGCCTGCGAATTGCATCAAAACTCCAGGCGTCTAATGACGCGAAAGGATGAAAAGTTCATGAAAAAAAGGCCCAAAATGCCATGATGAAGTCCGAGAACCTCCAATCTCGATGGAAAGTCTCATTGGGGCGTAGGAGTTATAACCATGACTCGAAATGCAGGGATTGGGCCAGGGATTGTGGCCTGGAACCCTGAACAAAGCTCCCAAAGCTCAAAGCCCGCAACAAGCCCCTCAACCGTTGAACCCTTGCCTTTGGGGACTTCATGCTAAAAGGGTTTATGTGGTTCACATATACCTTCTTGGAGTTATAGTAGTATAGGCCAGTATAGATATACGATCCTGATTTTTGGGCTCATACCCTAAACCCTAAACCCTAAACCCTAATGTGGTCCCCGAATTCTTTGCGTAGGCTGGCAGACTTCGGTGTTCTTCACCGCAATGAGCTGAGTGGCACCTTGGCGGGCCTCACGCGCGTGTGCCGGGCCCAGTGCTGCTAGTTGCTTAAGAACCCTTTAGGGTTTAGGGCTTAGGGTTTAGGGTTTAGGGTTTAGGGTTTAGGGTTTAGGGTTTAGGGTTTAGGGTTTAGGGCCCAGTGGGTTCGGCACGAGACAAGGGCGTACCTTCAAATATCCCGCTAGCTTATGGTAAGTTTGGGCCAGCAATGGCTTTAGGGTTTAGGGTTTAGGGTTCAGAGAGGACCCTGAGAAGCAGACGTGCTATCACCTTCCATACTTCCCGCCGCCTGCGCCCGCGTTCTCGTGGCTCGAAGCCTCCGCTCAGAACAGGTGCCGGGTCCCGGTTTCAAAGGGCCCAGTTTTGGGTCCAGGTTCCGGGTGTCTGCGGTGTTTTCTCCACAGCTTCATTCCATGCGTTCCTGAAGGCGTTGTCGGCAAACGCGAGGGTGGTGGCAATGAAGCAAGAGTGCTGTACACGGACGCACAGACTTCGAGCACTCAGCGGCTGTCACGAAGTCGTATAACCCTATGAGCCCCAAACCCTACATTCCCAGGTCAAAACTTGGGCCTTGTTGGGGTTCTTAAGGTAGGACCACCAGCTTAGGGTTTAGGGTTTAGGGTTTAGGGTTTAGGGTTTAGGGTTTAGGGTTTAATTCCCTTTTCAGCTCTGTAAGTACCCTTTTGTCGACGGATGCCTGGCGCGATGTCTGGGAACGGCAAAGCCGACGCGGGACAGCCAGGCGGGAGTTCTTTTCTTTTTAGCGTTTAGGGCTAGGGTTTAGGGATTAGGGTTTAGGGTTTAGGGGTTTTGCATAGAAGTGTGTCTTAAGAACCCCGAAGCTACTTCCTTGGCAAGTGCCTTGCGAATCCTGAAGCAGCATGGGAGCGGGGACTTGGGTGCCTTTAGGGTTTAGGGTTTAGGGTTTAGGGTTTAGGGTTTAGGGTTTAGGGTTTAGGGTTTAGGGTTTAGGGTTTAGGGTCGAGGTCTAGGTAAACCATCTCCCTGTAGAGGTGGTCATATTATGGGGTATATCCCACAATAGGGAGGAAACCCCTTGAAATCCCGTTTGTACCACAAAGATACGAGAACCATCCCCCAAAACGGGTACAATTTTGAGGAAACCCAAAACCCAAAACCCAAAACCCAAAACCCTAAACCCTAACCCCTGGCCCCTAAACCCTAAACCCTAAACCCTAAAACCTAAACCCTAAACCCTAAACCCTAAACCCTAAACCCTAAACCCTACACCCTACACCCTACACCCTAAACGCAGGCGCGGCGGAGACGTTGGAGACCGTGACCTCAGTGGAGGAACTCCTGCGCAAGGCAACGGAGAGCAGTCGACATCCCTGGAGTGGGACCATATGGGGAGGGTTTAGGGTTTAGTGTTTAGGGTTTAGGGTTTGGGGTTTGGGGTTTGGGGTTTGGGGTTTGGGGTTTGGGGTTTGGGGTTTGGGGTTTGGGGTTTGGCGTCTGGGGTGGGTTTGGGGTTTGGGTTTGGGGTTTGGGGGATGGGGTTTGGGGTTTCAAGTGTTCTTGTAAACTAAATGCTGGTACATAGTGCACACTGTGGCAAGCATCTACCTCGTCGTGGCTGTTTGCAGCTGTCGCTTGCAAAAGAGGTGGGGTTTCGGGTTTAGGGTTTAGGGTTTAGGGTTTAGGGTTTCGGGTGGTACCAGGCAGGCGAGTTCAATGTCCATCTTGCGGCGAGCCATTCCCCCTTTCACCGCCATGAAGCAGCCCCGCAGCACCGACCGCTGGTTGTTGTTGTATTCGCACTCAGTAGTAGAGTAGGTAACCTTTAACCTTTTTGGGTTCATCTAGTCCCCTTATAATCCCAAAGGTTAACCTTTAAAACCCCTAGGCACTGGACAACTAAGAGCAACACGCCACCAACCGCCGAACTCAAACCCTCGCGGAAAAGAGTGCTGCTAACGCCTTGCTGCAAGCTTGCAGTATCACTCTACCTGTAGCCCAGAAAGCTAACATGTCGATGGTTCCTTTTTCATGGTTTTCTCTTAGAAAGGTAACATAGGTGCCGTTATACTTATGCCATAATACCCCCCCCCAAAAAAAAAAAAACAAAAACAAGAAAACAAGAAAAAACCCTATTCTAATTATTAAGGTTTCGGCTCTCTAAGCCATGAATGCAGACACCCGACAGAGGCGAAGGAGGCGCTGGCAAAAGCACCTGACCGACCAAAGCGAAGGCGTGTTCGCCAGCGCCGCTTTTGCTGAAGTGGCTTTGGGCTTTTAAAGGCTCTGGGGGTTTTAGGCGTTTGGGCTTTTAGGGCTCTATAGGGCTTAGGGTTTTGAGGGTGTTAGGGTTTGAAGGGTTCTAGGGTGGTTTAGGGTGGTTGCGGGGCTTACGCCAATGTTAGGGGGGTTTTGGTCTGCCGGTTCAGGGATTGAAGGACACGAGATCGGTGACATGTGTGCTAGAGCTCTATAGAGCCTGATAATGCGGAGTTACAGGTTTGGCTCCAATATCTCTCTCTCTCTCTCTCTCTGCAGCATCTATAGATCTTGGTAGCCCAGTGCTGCCGGTACTGTCAGCGGTTTAGGACTTAGGGTCCCGTCCAGTCGTGCTGCGCGCATAGTCCCTTCTTTGCGGCTAAGCCCCACAGCCACAAGCTTTAGGGTTTAGGGTTTAGGGTTTAGGATGCTTTACTTGTGGAACCAGAAAGCTTCAACTAAGGCTCGGTGCTGGCCCGAACGAATCCTTTGGGACCCACAGGAACTCCACAAAGGGTTTTGGGTTTAGGGTTAGGGTTTAGGTTTTAGGGTTTAGGGTTCAGACCCCAATTGTTTAGGGCTCAATTGGTCCAAGGTTTCCACAAGAGGCTGGGAGACTTGCGCTTGTCTTGTGACGAGGCGCCCGGGGCGATAGGGTTTAGGGTTTAAGGTTTAGGGTTTCGGGTTTAGGGTTTAGGGTTCAGGGTTTAGGGTTTAGGGTTTAGGGTTGAAAGGAGCCACTTCTCTTAGGAGTCCGATGATGGAATCGGGTGTGCTTTGAGGGTTAAGGTTGCTGCAGAACTGCCGTGCAGAGCGGGGGGGGATTCGTTTTAGGGTTAGGGTTTAGGGTTTAGGGTTTAGGGTTTAGGGTTTAGGGTTTAGGGTTTAGGGTTTAGGGTTTAGGGTTTAGGGTTTAGGGTTTAGGGTTTAGGGTTTAGGGGTTCAAAGTTTCCGCTGCCATGGTTCGGGGCATTGGACTGCGGGCTTTGGGAGTTGAAATCGGGCTTGCCAGAAACCCTAAACCCTAAACCCTAAACCCTCAACCCTGAACCCTGAACCCCGAACCCTGAACCCTGAACCCTAAACTAGCTTCAGCAGCCTCAAGTGCAGCATCCAAGCTTCCAAAACGACGGGTTCTGTAGAAGAGACTTGGGATTTCGGGATGTTCCCCCCTTGTACAAACCTTGGGTTTGGGGCTCAGGGTTTAGGGTTTAGGGTTTAGGGTTTAATCGGGATTCTAATGGGGGGCGGGGGGTACTATAATCCTTACAAAGGACTGTTCGTATCAGGGGTAACCTCCCAAGAAGAGACAGTGTTTCATCATCAGTTCCAGAGTGTGCCTTCTGGAAGATGTTGGGGCATGAAGCTGCGTAAACCCTCAAATCCTAAACCCGACCTAACCCCTGAGCCGCCCCACAGTTAGAGTTTAGAGTTTAGGGTTCAGGGTTGAGGGTTTAGGGTTTGGGGTTTGGGCGGTTTGGGGTTTAGGGTTTAGGGGCATCTGCGAAAGCTGACAGGAATGGCATGAAGCCACCAGTATGTGGCACAAGGGGGTGTTGTTGGGTATATGGAAAAGAGGCAAGACGTCATCTGCTTCGGCACATTCGCAGTGCATGGTGGAGTGCTTGCTTTCTGTAGCCGACCTGAACACTTGGTATGGCAAGCCTTATAGGGTTCTAAGGTGTCCTATACTCCCCACTACTCCCTAAGGCTCCCGAAAGCTTCCCTAAGGTTCCCTAGGTACCTACCCCCGCATGAACCCCCCCTCCCTTCCGAACCTTATAAAAGCCCATGCAGACTCATCAGCTTTTGTGCAATGCAATCCCCATCTCAGTGTGTTCACAAGTGTTGTGGCGCAGGTGACGGAGGCAAACGAACGACGCTCGGCACCGCATTGGGGTCTCACCTAAAGTACTGAAGACCTCTCGGGGCTATCGCCACTTCATCGGACGGCCTGTGGAGGTCGGCGGAACAACCTTCCTTTGCGTAGAGGGCTATGGGTTTAGGGTTTAGGGTTTAGGGGGTTCGGGGTCTGTAGGAGTGTTTAGGGTTTAGGGTATAGAAATTGCTCGTTTCTGCGCTCACAGAGCTCATATACGCCGCAAGGCTTGTCGTCAGAACCCGCCAAGACGTAGGTTATGGGTTCTTAACCAGCCTTATCATCCCCTTAAAACCAACACAAAAAGGGCACCCTTGTTATTCCTAGGTTACTCCTAAACCCTAAACCCTAAAACCTAAATAAACCTAAACCCTGGGTCTAGTTATGGCTCAGGTGTCCTTGTAGCTTCCCTCAGGCTACAGGGTGATGGCCGAAGAGATCTCCGGCCTGGGACCCTACACCGGCGGCGCCTCGGCCTTGAAACGATGGGAACGAAGTTGGGAGGTTGAGGGGCTACTGAGCCCTAAACCCTATCAACCCTAGACCTGGGATGTTTTTTTTTTTTTTTTTTTAATACTAATCGTCCTTAATAAGGGGTTTGTAGTCCCATAAACCCTAGCTAAACCCTTGGGATGTTGCGTTTTTATACGAACAGTCCTTAATAAGGGGTTTGTAGTATAGGGGGGGGTACTCTAATGCCTACTAAGGACTGCTCGTACCGAAGGGTAGACTAAACCAGAGCTCCTCGAGCGAATGATGCACTTCTTCAGAATGGGCTCAGGGCCGGTTTGTGTGTTGCCAAATAGCAGTACCCAGACACGATAAACCCAGGGTATCGTAGGGGGCCCAAACCCCAAACCCCAAACCCCAAACCCCAAACCCTAAACCCTGAACCCTGAACCCTG